TCGAAAATACTCACCCGCAAGTACAAAAGAGTCGGCGAGAGCGGATCTCCCTGCCTTAGACCACGAGACGAAGTGAAATACCCCGTCAGCTCCCCGTTGATTAGTAAAGAGAACTGGCACGAGGAAACACATCGCCGAATAATATCAACCAAGTTCGCCGAGAAACCAATCAGCTCGAGTACACGAAATAAGAACCGCCACTGAACCCTATCATAAGCCTTTGCCATATCCAGCTTCAAAATAAGATTTGGATTTCGACAACGAACTGATATCGAGTGGACCATCTCTTGTGCTAATAAAATATTATCACTAATGAGACGACCCTGAACAAACCCACTCTGAGAAGGAGAAATAATGTGGGGCAAATGAGGTGCCAGTCTGTTCGTAAGTACCTTGGTGATAATTTTATTGGTCACGTTGCACAAGCTAATCGGGCGGAAATCTGTCCAAGCCGTCGGAAAGTCCACCTTTGGAATAAGAACCAAGGTGGTAGCGGTGAAGCTCGCAGGCATAGATCCACCCTCGAAGAAATCCCAAACCGCTTCACAAACATCACACTGAATCAAGTCCCAACAATGCTGATAAAATAGCGAAGAATACCCATCAGGACCCGAAGCACTATCTTGACAAATCCCAAACACCGCATCTTTGATCTCCTCAACCGACGGACGAGTAGAGACTGAAGAAAAGTCCCTTTGAGGAGCGGAAAATAGGGACTCATCAACCGGAAGCAAACTAGGCATATCATCGGTAAGAAGCTTGCTAAAGAAATCAACGCCCGAATCCTTGATCTCCTGAGCTGATGTGAGAACCGAATCACCATGAGAGATAGAGTGGATTCGATTGACACATCGCTTTTTCTTGACTAACGAGTGGAAAAACTTAGAGTTTCTCTCTCCATCAGTCGCCCATCTACAAGCTGCCTTCTGCTTCCAAAAGTCCTCCTCAATATTGAGCATGAGAGTAAGTTCAGCAGTGGCCTTTTTCAAATTTGCACGATTCTCGGGGGATCGATCCAAGTCATATATGTGCTCGGCCTCTAGAACAGCTGCCTCGGCCCTCTCTTTATTCTTGAACACGTCCCCGAAAACATTCCAATTCCACCACTGAAGCTTCTGTTTCAATCGTCTCAACTTCGTATGTAATCGATGCATCCCCGTCTGAGCACACGGAAAGTCCCAAACCTGTTCCACAATCTGACGAAACGTAGCGTGGCGGATCCACATATGTTGAAACCGGAATGAAGCAGGAGGCCTAGACGAAGAAGCAGCCGATGAAACCAAAAGAGGAGCATGATCCGACCAGGTCCGTGAGAGGTGGGTAACCTGCGTAATAGGCAGTAAATCTAGCCAAGCAGAGTTATATAGAATCCTGTCCAAACGCTCCAAAAGACCTGAAGGGCTCTCCCAAGTATAGCAAGAACTAGCCCCAGAGAACCCGGCATCCGAAAGTTCACAATCCGAAACCATAGCACCAAACTCAGCCATATCTAGTCTCCTATCCGAAACCGATCTATTCCGTTCTGACTCAAGTAAGATTGAGTTGAAGTCACCCCCAGAAATCCAAGGAGTGTCACCAATCGTCTCAAAAATGTCGCGGAACGAATTCCACAAAACACGGCGCTCGGAACGAGAGCATCTAGCATAGACTGCAGTAAATACAAAAGGAGCACCAAATAAACCAGATATGCATCTAACATGCAATAATTGTACCTCATCCCTAAGCAACTCCACTCGAAAATTGTGATCCCAAAAAATCCAAATCTTCCCCGCACAATTAGACAAACCAGCAACGAAACCCAAACGACGGCAATAGTAATCATGTACAAACTCAGTCATAGGTTCAGAAATAACCAATAAATTAACTCTATGTTGGCGACAAATATAGCGCAAGTGGGATTGGGTCGCCTTATTTTTTACCCCCCTTGCATTCCACACCAAGAATTTACCCGACATCAAGAAGAGGGTGAATGCGACCCATCTGAAGATTTCCGAGATGTGATAAAGAATGAGTTACCAATAAGGTGGGCCTCTTCCGCATGCCAACGTTCGGCATTCTGCAAACGCCAACGCTCAGCATCAATTAGGCTCGATCGCCACGAGGCCGAAGGTTCATCAGTGATAGAGCCGGGAGTAGCGTGATCAGCTGGGCGTATGCTCGTGGCTGGGCTCACGGGCTCATAAGGGATCATGGCAAGGTGATTGAAAGGAGGCGTGCCGGCCAAATTTTCCTCGGCCTTGGTCACATAGTGTTCGCAAAATAAGCCAGCCGACGTAGGTGTAATCGGATCCGTACCCGCCGAAAGTCCCGAAAGTCCTGACCCCTCTCGTCCGTGTACCCCATGATTAAGGGGAACATCCTTGGCCACCGAAGTGGCTGAAGGGGGTTGAGGGGGGTACGCCCTTTGCGGTTTGGGAGCTAGAAGCTTGATTTCTGTTCTTTTTGGAGGGAGACACATGCTGATTTTTTTTGGACATGGATAAGGCCTCCATATCATCTAAATAAGCTGCTTGATCATCGGCAATAGTATCTATAGGGTCTGGACTCATCGGTTGTTTGGTGTTAGAAGTATTTTTTCGGCCCTTTTTCGAAGATTTTGGAACATGTTTGGAAGCAACATCCGGTTGAATATGAGCAGCCTCTATATCCTCTTGAACCCCACTCTCCAACAATTCAAAGGGGTTGTAATGCTCAAAATCTCCTTCACTAATATTATCGGCAGTATTCCGCACAATAGCTTGAGAAAAACTAGGATTTTCAGTTGATTTTGTCCCCGATGTTTTAGGAATATCCATGTTTTCAACAACAACATTTTTCCTCTTTTCAACTCGTCGCCAAACTTGTTTTTCCTTTGGTGGGGCTGTGGGTTTGGGAATCCGTTGTGGCGGTGGTGGAAAATCCGGTTTTTTAGCATTTCCATTCATATAACAATTTTCAACCGAGTGACCCAGGTGAGAACAAAACGTGCAGAATTTTGGGACGTTCTCGTAGTTTACCGGCAAGGAAATCATCTCAATATCATCATAGCCAGTCATCACCGGAATTTGTTCAACCCTCGGTTTCAAGAGATCAATTTCGACACAAAATCGAGCAACAGATAGCTTCTTTCGATCGGCTGTAAAATCATCAAACTCAAGTGGATTTCCAATAGAAGAAGCAAGGAAGAATATAGCTTCCCGGTTGTACATATAAGGAGGAACTCCCGGCACATTAACCCAGACCGGCGCTATAGAAGTTTCGTTTTTCAAATTAAAGCCCGGAGTGTATTTAAAAACACGCATGGGCAGCCCATCAATATAGCATATCGATCTTCTCAAAAGCAAAGAATAATCATCTAATACCGAGAATTGAATCAACACATGCCGATAATTCAATTTATGCAACTCAAAGGAACCGCGGGGCTTTAAATCGTAAATAAACTTCTCCATAACTTTGTAGTGAGGTATCCCATGAGAAAACTTACCAATCAAGGTGTACTTTAACGGCTCAAGCATCTTATCAACCTCCTCTTTCGAGAAATAGAGCACATTCTTGCCATCTATCACTTTAATTGTCCCAATTGGAGCGATATCTTCTCGGTGGAGCAAGTGACGACGACGATCAACCTTAGAAGGAGCAATTGGAGGTCCGAGATCACCGTGTACAGCAGCAGCAAAGGATTTGGTTGGGAATTGGAATTTTGGGGTTTGAATTTCGGGATTAGGGGTTTCAATTTCGGGATTGGGGTTTTTTAATTGGGGATTTTGGGTTTGGAATTGGGAATTCGGATTATGATTGTCCAATTTAGAAATAGGGGTATAAATATCATTTTCAGTGTTTGAATTGGACTTAAAACCAGCTTGGGCCATAAGATTGGGGTTTAGGTGGTCCGTTTTAGGGTTTTGGGCTCGGATTTGAGTAATATTATCGTGAGCTGGTTTTAGAGTGGAAGATAGGCCTTTCTTAGGAGAGTTAGGGGCTGAGATGGGCTTAGGGACCGGTAGTTTGAGGCTTGAAAAATCCACATAGGATGGTGATTTGGCAAGTGGTGTAAACTTGGCGAATTGTGGTTGGCTGAGGTGAGGAGTTCTAGCCAAGTCAAGGGGTGAGGTGGAATGGGCGGGAAAAGTGGTTGGTGAAATTTGAATTGTGGAGACCTTGCCTTGTGTTGAAAATTCAGCTTCCACAATCAAGGAAGATTGATTGGTGAAATCTTCCATAATTACCACGTCCGAAAAGGAAGGTCCTGATTTGGAATGATCTTGATTTGCTACACTCATTAAAGGAGGAACCAAGACAAGATGAGAGTCTAGATTCATGCGGGGGCACAAGCAGCAGCTACCCACTCGAAGATCTCCACCGAGAGAAGGCGGAGATACGACGGAGACACGAAAAACCGATGACAAGACACGAAACAAAGTGAGGACGAAACAAACCTCCACTAAAACTGAAATTAAAGAAGCACAACGAGCAAAAAACGCCCAAGAATGGATGCAAAAAACGAGGCTGAGATCACAAGGAATGAAAGCAGCCCTAAAACCGAATGAAATGAAGGAGAAACAACCAAAAAACGACACAAAAACACAAGAATACAGCTGACCCAAACACAAACACGAAAAAAACAAAGAACACTACCAAATTTTGAGAAAATTATATGCAAAGAGCACGAAAACCTCAAAACCAATGGATAACTGAACTAAAATGACAATAAGAAACGATGATCAACTAACCAGAAATGAAATGAATGGCTAAAATCGATCAAAATCTTCGTAGGAAAGACACAACTTTCTAGAGAGAAGGCAGAGCGTTTTTTCTAGAGAGAGAAACATTTTTTGATGTTAGCATGACATGAGAAAGTTTCAATTGTAGCCAGCTGAAATAGCTTTCCAATTGACATTAGACAGGAATTGTAGCCAGCTAAAATAGCTTTCTAATGCCAATGGAACCAGTTGATTTGAAGTCCGGATGAGAAAGTTATGCTCGACTTCGTGGACACTACCGAAGATGTTGAGGGATCCTCTCTTCTACTTTGATTTTATTTTCCTAATTACAACTCTTTCTTACTCTCTGATCAGTTTTGCTTCATGGACACCTAAATATCCATTTGTACCTATAGGATACTAAATCCACCAATTAAAACAAAAATATAAATTATTCCATAAAAAAATCCACGTAAACGTAAACGTTGAGTGTTATTTCTACACTCCACTAAATCTTTTGTATTTAGTGTTTTTGCTATTGTTTGGTTATGCGTATTAAAGTCCTAGTGTTGTATTTCGTGTTTTTAAGAACGTTGTTGCGAAAGTACTTTTGCGCATATTTTTTTACATGTACGTTTGTGCATGTCCATTTGAGCGAGTGTGTTTGTGCATGTTTGTTGATTTGTATTAATTTCCTAGGATTGTAGTTTGTGTTTTCGTGATCCTTTTTCCGAATGCACTTTTCCGTGAGTACTTTTGTGCATGCTTTTGTACTTTTACTTATGTGCGTATATTTTGTAGCGAGGGTTTATTTTGCACATTTCTTGATGCGCATTCGTGTCCTCAAACTGTTGCACGTATTTTCATGATGGCTTTTGGAATCCAATTTTGACCATGTTCGAGTCCGAATTTGGAAATTTGACATTAGACAGGAATTGTAGCCAGCTAAAATAGCTTTCTAATGCCGCCGGAACCAGTTGATTTGGAGTCCGGATGAGAAAGTTATGCTCGACTTCGTGGACACTACCGAAGATGTTGAGCGATCCTCTCTTCTACTTTGATTTTATTTTCCTAATTACAACTCTTTTCTTAATCTCTGATCATTTTTGCTTCATGGACACCTAATTATCAATTTGTACCTATAGGATACTAAATCCACCAATTAAAACAAAAATATAAATTAATCCATAAAAAAATCCACGTAAACGTAAACGTTAAGTGTTATTTCTACACTCCACTAAATCTTTTGTATTTAGTGTTTTTGCTATTGTTTGGTTATGCTTACTAAAGTCCTAGTGTTGTATTTCGTGTTTTTAAGAACGTTGTTGCGAAAGCACTTTTGCGCATGTTTTTTTACATGTACGTTTGTGCATGCCCATTTGAGCGAGTGTGTTTGTGCATGTTTGTTGATTTGTATTAATGTCCTAGGATTGTAGTTTGTGTTTTCGTGATCCTTTTTCCGAATGCACTTTTCCGTGAGTACTTTTGTGCATGCTTTTGTACTTTTACTTATGTGCGTATATTTTGTAGCGAGTGTTTTTGTGCACGTTTCTTGATGCGCATTCGTGTCCTCAAACTGTTGCACGTATTTTCATGATGGCTTTTGGAATCCAATTTTGACCATGTTCGAGTCCGAATTTGGAAATTTGACATTAGACAGGAATTGTAGCCAGCTAAAATAGCTTTCTAATGCCGCCGGAACCAGTTGATTTGGAGTCCGGATGAGAAAGTTATGCTCGACTTCGTGGACACTACCGAAGATATTGAGCGATCCTCTCTTCTACTTTGATTTTATTTTCCTAATTACAACTCTTTTCTTACTCTCTGATCATTTTTGCTTCATGGACACCTAAATATCCATTTGTACCTATAGGATACTAAATCCACCAATTAAAACAAAAATATAAATTAATCCATAAAAAAATCCACGTAAACGTAAACGTTGAGTGTTATTTCTACACTCCACTAAATCTTTTGTATTTAGTGTTTTTGCTATTGTTTGGTTATGCGTATTAAAGTCCTAGTGTTGTATTTCGTGTTTTTAAGAACGTTGTTGCGAAAGTACTTTTGCGCATATTTTTTTACATGTACGTTTGTGCATGTCCATTTGAGCGAGTGTGTTTGTGCATGTTTGTTGATTTGTATTAATTTCCTAGGATTGTAGTTTGTGTTTTCGTGATCCTTTTTCCGAATGCACTTTTCCGTGAGTACTTTTGTGCATGCTTTTGTACTTTTACTTATGTGCGTATATTTTGTAGCGAGGGTTTATTTTGCACATTTCTTGATGCGCATTCGTGTCCTCAAACTGTTGCACGTATTTTCATGATGGCTTTTGGAATCCAATTTTGACCATGTTCGAGTCCGAATTTGGAAATTTGACATTAGACAGGAATTGTAGCCAGCTAAAATAGCTTTCTAATGCCGCCGGAACCAGTTGATTTGGAGTCCGGATGAGAAAGTTATGCTCGACTTCGTGGACACTACCGAAGATGTTGAGCGATCCTCTCTTCTACTTTGATTTTATTTTCCTAATTACAACTCTTTTCTTAATCTCTG